GTCCTATTCACTACATTGTTTTTGGTGTTCTGTGCTTTTCAGAAAGCTCACACTCAATTAAAATGCAGTATTTTTTTCTCAGTTGGTGTATTGCTGAATGTGTATTGCTCTCCTCTGACCTCATTTGTTGCTGAAAGTTTTTATCGTGTCTGTTTTACTTCTGCAGTTGCTTTTCGCATCTATGATATGGACAAAGATGGTTATATCTCAAATGGTGAGCTCTTCCAGGTGCTGAAGATGATGGTGGGGAACAATCTCAAAGACACTCAGTTACAGCAAATTGTAGATAAAACCATAATTAATGCAGATAAGGATGGTGATGGAAGAATATCCTTTGAAGAATTCTGTGCTGTAAGTAACCTCTCAGGAAAACTCAGTTCAGTATGATGGACTGAAAACAAGACCAGACCTTAACACTTTTTAATACAGAGACACATGCTAGTTTGGTGTGAGGATGTATGCTGGTTAAGAAAAAAGCAGCTTTAAAGATAACTTGCAATTTACTGGCTTTTCACAGGAGGTTGGATTTATGTTTTCAATGATAAAAAAAGAAACAGAGCTTTCAGTTGTTCTCACAGTCTCTAGCTGTGAAAAAATCAAGAACAGTGGGCAAGCATACTCAGTCTGCTGAGTGAAAAATGCTTCAAATTACCTGGAAACTGTAAGAACAGAATTTTATAGCAGGTCTCTCTTTAAAACACTTCTCTCAGAGGTGGTAGCTGGAGTGTTCCGCAGGGGTTAACTTCAGGTTAATCTCCCCGTCTCTAAAGTAGGTGTCTGCTCCAAATCACTCCTTAGAAAGGTTTATCTTTCTGCAGGGAGACAGCCTGGGGAGATTATCACTCTCTGCAGAAGACAGGGCTTGTACAAAGGCCAGGATGGTGGGATTTGTGTCACTTATGGGGAGAGCAACCCCAGAGTTCTGCTCTTGAAGAAGGACAATCAGGCACATTGTAAGACTGGTGAATGCTGCTTTGCTAGGACTCCTAACTTCCCCTTTCAAAGATGCACTGCTTTAAATGCTGTTTTAGAAGACAGCATTTCAGCCAATGTGTGGAAACACAATACAAAGTCAGAACAGAAGATGAGGAGGAGAGAAACCACACTGGTGTAACCTGCACTGTTCTGCCAGGCCCAATGGTGTGCTTGGTGCCCGTGTAATTACTTTGGGTGACACCTAATTTGTCTGCATAGCACACTGCACTTGGGAAATGTGAGTAAGATTGGAGAGGTTATGGAAGTATAGTGACTGTAATGGGCATAGATTTGCCTTCTGAATGCAGCATGCACTTTCTGTCTTGCTCACTTTCCCTTCTGACTTGCTTACAAGTGCTTGTTTTTCTCCCAGGTTGTAGGAGGCCTAGATATCCACAAAAAGATGGTGGTAGATGTGTGACTCTGTAGGGCACCACCCAACACTTTTGCTTTCTTCTCCATCTCTGAAGATCTGCTCAAGACGTCCAGCAATGCTCTCTGTGTATTTAAATGGAAGTATTTTTCTCTGTGAAGCCACATTTTCCAACATGAGCCTCATGAAGCCAACTAAGTGTTATTGAACTTTTATTCTCTCAATAACTCAGTGTAGCACTTTAAAGTCTGAAGGACAGCAAAGATGGAAAGAGCATATCAGTGTGGTGGAGAAAGGGAAGGGGTTGGCTTTTTAATTTATTTTTCTTCATCTTTTATAACAAGGAAATATCTATCTATATATATATATGTGTGTGTGTATTTATATATAGATATATATGTAGCTTTCTATATGTAGTAGCTAGGTGGGCTTTAATTTAATATACTTGATTCAGAAACGAAACTAGAGTACAAAGTGCCAAGCAGAATATTAACAGTTCAATATATGGATATACATCCTTACTTTTATTTCACACAGTTTTATATATATAGTAGAAGAATGTAAAATTTTAACTGGGTGTTAGGTCAATTCTTCTCCTTTTCCTGTGACTGTTCAGATGTTTCTATATATTGACTGGCTGACAAAGCATCGCTTCTTATTAATTTACCTTAATGACATGTTTTGTAACACAGGAGACAAAGTTTATTTATACCTGTTAATATATTACCAGGGACTGTGTCTCTTTGCTAAATAACTTACTACAGTTCTACTTAATATAGTATAGTTTAATGCTACTGCCAAGAACCAGCCCTCGTGTGCAAATAGTAACTGCAGAATGCTTCGATGGCCACTAGATTTTGTCACCTAGCGACTGGGGGTGGTCACAGCTGTCCCAAAGTTAATGCTCATCTGTCATTGGAGTCATTTTAGATACAGCTGCTCAAGGTGTTAGACACATTGACTTTCTCTTGTGCTTACTTACCTTAATGAAATTAGGGTCTATGTAACTGCAGGATCCCCATCTACTTATTTTATACAGTACGTAGATTATGAAGTGTTTTTGCCATTTAAATTCTCGTTTCAACTGTGATAGTTTCCCCTCTGCATTTAAAGAACATTACAGGTAGCATAAATAACTGGTAATATTTTATATATATATATATATGTGTATGTATATAGGATTCATACGGGGGAAAATCTTGTTAACCTATGCCACAGAGGAGGAAAACTTCACACTATCTAAATTGATACCTCTTGCAGTTCTCCAGTCCTTTGCCTGGAGAATTTTTTCTTTCTTTTCTAGATTTGTCCATATCATAATTTGTAACGGATGGTAACTTGATATATTTGTGTGATATAAAAGTAGCGAGCCATGTTTTACAACTTTATATCATCCCTTCCCTTTTCTGCAATGGTACTATTGGCTGGAAGAAAAACATTTGCTAGATTTTTTAGGACAGTACATCTTTCCTGTATAGTAGTTTTTCTATTAAAAAAGAATTGTTTTATAATCAGCATTGGAAAGTGCAGGTTGTCTGAATCTACTTCTATCGAGCACCTGTCTGCCATAGCTGTTCCTTCAACTGAGTGCTGCACATCCATGGGCTCTGTCTGTGAGAGAAATCCAGGTGCTTGGTGTCCTTGCATGACATGAAGTTTTGCATGTAGATCGATTTGAAATGTTCCTCTTGTTTACATAATTTGCATAATTTAAACGATAATGTTGCCAAACTTTGGTAAATGTTAATGTTCAAAACAAAAATCTCCACTACATGTAACTTTCTTCCTCTGGATCAGTACGTGGCTTATAATCCCAGCCAGTGGTTGTATCTGTTCCAGTGTCAACTGCCATGTGCTCTGCTTCAAGGGGGAACTGGTCTTTTGTGAATTTTTTGTACATAAGTATTTGTTACAAACATTTTAGCAAATGCTTTTGATTTCTCTTACTTGCTTGTGCATATCTTGGCTGTTGTAATAGAAACTAGTGCTACCGTTATTTCCTTCAGGGGGGATTGGAAGGGGAGGGATGAGGTTTTTTTTAGTTTGTGTGGGGAAAAATGATTTATGTTGAATGTTTAGTTTTTCCTCTGCATGCTACATCATATGTTGTGGGAACTATAAGAACCTTCATACTATACGAATACAAAATAAAATATTTGAACCTTGGTTTGGGTGCTTCAGTACTTACCTGACACTCCCCAGTAAACCTAAGGCAGCTCTGTGCCCTGCTCTAAAAGCAAGTTGCTGCTCGTAGTGTTTGTCCCTTAGCTGAACACTCTTAAGCTTTGTTTTAGTGCTTCAAGACAACTTCTGTAGTTTTTTTAAAGGCACATCTGAATCTCTACTTAGATCACATACCTTGTATAAGTGGGGCTAAACTCAGAATGATTGATGCTGTGCTGTTTGAAAACAAACAAAAGCCTCTAACCTTACTGCAGGTGGAAACAGCCAGCTTCCTTTCTCAAGGCAAATCCAAGCCTCTGCTGGTGAAGGCAGTCCTCCCTGTTGGTGAATGCCCTTCACAGAAGCAGCCCAGGAGCTGTTTGCTGTTGCTTTTCATGTATCCTGTTGATTCCTGCACTCTAAAGGCAGCCTGTGAAGGTGTGTGGGCCTCCTGCTTTGGGCTACCTTGCAGCAGCCCCATGCTCAGGTCAGTATCAGCACACACCTGCTTTAGGAGAAAGATCAAATCACTTTCCTACATCCACACCCCGCTTTCCCCTCCTACCTCTAGAGTTCACTGAGATAACTGACACACAGTGAGTGAACAAACTGTGCTACTGGGTAAGTGCACTGCTTTTCCTTGAGCTACCTTGGATCCTTTTCTCTGTACAGATCAGACTTCACAGGTAACTAAAGGGAACTCAGACAGCTCTGCACATCTTAAATCCCTTAGTAATTGAAGAATTGAATTAATTTGGCTGTAAAAATGTTATCAGGCTATGTAAGTACTATCCAGCTGTAAAGTGCTGCATAGTTAACTTAAACATTGAGAGAAACACTTCCTCAATTGCTGATGCTTTTTTGGATCTCATTTCACTTTCTGTTTTGATTCAGAGACCTAAACTGAGTTGCTTTGCATAAGACCTGGTAATGAGTTTAAGTGGTGAAGGGCAGGAATAAGATGCCCATGCTGCACGGTCTCTCCCCCAACTGCTGCATGCAGCATTTTAAGAGGGAGGATGTGCAGCACTGACAGCTGTCTGTGCTCCAGTGCATGGGCACTGCCAGAGCTGGCACGTCCTTACCTGGAGGCTCTTAGCATCACTACTAGGATGCCCATTCATGCAGATCATTCATGAGAACAGAAAAGGAATCCAGGTAAGCACAGATTCTAAAGCTAAGTGCAGATATGCTGTTTACCTCTTGGCCTTCACATTGTCTCTTCCTGTGATGCACTGCTGCAGTAGCAGAGACTCTTCCAGCAGCCTGCTCTTACACTTGGCACCTCAATGGGAGCTTCCTTTTTACAGAAAGATGCTGACTGGTCTGTGGTTATGAACAATTAACACTGCTGATTGTTTTCAGCTCCAGACTTGCAGGCTTTTTCAAGTTCTGTGAACGGTCTTGTAGTACTTGGATAATCAGAAAGTCACTCTCAGTCACGTTTTGGCTTGAGAATGAAGCAAAATTAGGCACCCATACTTCAGTATACAGTTTCATCATTTTTAGAATAGCTTTTAATGGCTGTACACAGATTGTGTTCAAATCAGACAGTATGCCTGGAGTATATCAGACTGCACAAACAGTCCCATTTTTCTTCTGTGATACCCAGTCCAGCAGAAGGCAGAGTGCTTCCATAGCCTCTGTGACTGCACAGCTTGTGCCCACAGTACCCACACTCCCCAGCCACAGTCCTTGGTAAAGCAGCACCACTGCATCTCAGAATCTTTCAGCTGCTCTGCTGGCCACAGCCCTAATATTGCCATAAACTTTGGATGGTGGACTTCCTACAAGAGAAAGTATATGTTAGTACATGTATTACAGAAATGCTGTTCTGCTTGAATGTTTAAATCTGTGTCAGTGTGGGGAATCTGACCCCCTCCTCTCAGGCACAACCACCACAGCCCAGCAAGCTACCTGCTCCAAATGCAGGTGCAGGCACACCAGGGAGCAAGGTGAGACTGCAGAAAGCATCTTTCAAAACAATCTATTTTCCTGTAATAGAGAAGATTAGACAGCAGGACTTACCTAAAATTAGATTGCAAATTGCTGTTCGTGCCATTTTAATGTTCTGAAAAGATCCTAAAATATGAATTTTCCTGTAAAAAGCAATCAAAGCAATAATAGTTAATGTAAGAAATGCACTGATGAATGCAATTAATAAATAGCACATCTCTCACATGGGAGTTCAGAAGCACACCAAAACAAACTGGTTTGTTTTTCAGTCATTAAAAAAAAATCCTCTATGCGGTAGAACCTCTCCTCTTCTAAATCCTTTAAAGGATACACTTTTACAGTTTGCAATGTAGCAGCTCTGGGAAATGACAGCTGCAGGGTTGGAAGGTTCAACTTTGTTATTCACAGGAAGGAATTCTTCAGCTGCGTGGAAGCAGTTCTGGACGTGCCCACGATACTCAGAACAGAAGGTCAAACACTCAAACACCACTCATGAAAAACAGCACTTTCAGCATTAGCAAGACAAATGATTTACAGAAGTTTACAGAAACTTAAGCTCTCTCGGTTCCTGGAAGCTGGCTGGGTTAACTCAGGGATTGCACTGTGACTGGAAGGATGTCAGTACTTACGAGTCAGCAAGAACGATCCGTGTTCTTGTTACGTTTTCTATAGTGAACTTTGTTTTTCCACCTTTCCCTGCTATTCTCCCTATTGCTCTTGACAGATGGTCTCCTTTCAAAGGTTTGACTAAAATGAGAACAAAGCACTCAATCAAGCAGCAGTGGTATGTATCCTCTGTAATGTTTCCTCTATTCAAACAAAGGGAAAAGCATGCAATCAACACGTGTTGAAACACAGCAATTTCAGAAGCTGCTCTCCTTGAGATCATCCCCAGGGACTCCCAGCAGTAAATGTTTGTGATGTCTGTTTCCTACTGCTGTCTATCATAGCACGGGGAGGAAGAATAGAACCCAGTTCCAGACTAAGTCTAACAGATGTGTTCCCCCAAATATTCCTTCTGACCTTTAAGATTGAAAAAATATTTTTTGGTGATGAGAAAAGTCCAATCAATTGCACAATCTGAAAAACTGACACACTTTCAAGGATAAAAATCTGGAGATTGGCATCAAGGTTTTCCTGATCTCCAAGGTTAAGTGACACACGGAGAAGAGGAGAAGAACAAAGATGTGCTCAGGCAGTGCACGTGGCTGCTTGAATAGCACAGCAGAAACTACTCACCATCTGTAACTTCAAATGATTCTAGGAAAAGGTCGTCTAATCTGATGAGAGCAAGAGCATCCTAAAATATTCAGAGATTTGTTATCAGTATGTGCATCACAGTACCATCACACAGTTTCAAGTTTTTCTTTACACATCTAAACAGATCACATCAGTGACATATCTCCATTTGATGCATCAAATATTGGTCTTAATTTCAAGCATAATGGAAAATCACCGTGAAGATTTTGATTTCTTAATGTAATTTCCAGAGTGCTTGAGGATTTAAAGCAAGTTTGAGCAATACCACAACCCGGCTGCTTGGAGACTCACCTCCACCTGAAAGCCAAGAATGAAAGCTTTCACAAAGTCAGCTGCTTTTGTCAGAGCACTGAGGTCCTTTGTCTCTGTACAGGTCTGCAGAACAAGAAGTTATGTTTCCAAATTAAGAAGGGGCAAACAGAATCAGGACTTGGAAAATCTATGAGATAAAGGCTAGCCATAAAAAAAAAGCCAAAGCCACATTCATGTAATGCCACTTCTGCGTTGTGTTCTATTGAAAGACCCGAGCAGTGTATGTTGTGTTTATAACAACAGGTTGCACAGAGAGCTGTGGGTGCCCCATCCCTGCAGCTGCCCAAGGCCAGGTTGGATGGGCCCTGGGCAGCCTGAGCTGATGGGGGGCAGGCAGCCCACGGCAGGAGAGCAGAAATGAGTGGGCTCTGAGGTCCCTTCCAACCCAACCGTCCTGTGATTCATTCCACGATGATCCTCAAACAGAATTACTACAGCCTATGCTTGGGGGAAGGGAGAAAGTGAAGAGATGGATGATTACCAGAGACACCTCGAGGAGGGTGAACGGTTCTAATGACGGCATCCCGGAAGCGTTTTAGCAGACGATTACAAAACACAGGTTCAATAAAACATAAGGGACAAGAGAAAGAGGAACATGACGATACACAGAGCAGCGCTCACCTTGATCTCAACGTTCCTCGTCTTTAAGTTAAACCTGATCTGGAGCTGCAGGTGCTCCACGATGGGCGTGAATATCTTCATCCAGTTCTCCTTCAGCGGGGTGTACCTGTTGGCCGGCACCGGCACCTTCCTCAGCTCTCCTTTCCCCACCTGCGGACAGCGGGGCGGTGAGCAGCGAACACGGGCAGATCCCGCAGCGCAGCCGCTCCCCTCGGCCCCGCGCTCACCCCCATGGCCGCGGCGGGCAGCGGCGGGAAGGCGGGCCTCTTGCTGGGCTGCGGCCCCGCCACCTCCATCCCCTCCACCGCCTCCATCGCCTCCGCCGCCTCCATCGCCTGCGCTCCCGCCGCTCTCCGTTTCCTCCGCCCGCGTTTGGAAACCACGCTGGTGAAGCCGCTCTCGTCCGCCGCTTCGGTCTCCATGGCGACGACCGCCGCACCGAAGCCCGCGCCTCTCCACCCGCCGCGTGGCCCTCGACCGGAAGAGCTCGCGGCTACTTCCGGTCCGCCCTCCTTCCCGCTTCCGGCGGCGGCCTCGGCGCTTCCGGCGCTCGGTATGTCGGCGGCGGGGTTGGAGCGGCCGCAGGTGGTGGCGCACGTGCAGCAGTCGCTGAACTACACCGTGTTCGACTGCAAGTGGGTGCCGCGCAGCGCCCGCCTGCTGTGCCTCGGCAGCGCCCCGCGCGGCACCGGCGTGCTGCAGCTGTACGAGCTGCGCGGCGGGCGGCTGCTGCTGCTCAGCGAGGTGAGAGCGGAGAGCCGGCGGTGATGCGGGGCGGCCCGCCGGGTCGAGGGGTCCTCGGCGCTGCGCTCAAAGCGGCTTTTTTTTTTTTTTTTTTTTTTTTCCTACAGATCGAGAAGGCCAAGCCGATAAAATGTGCGACGTTCGGGGCCGCCTCCCTGCAGCAGAGGCACCTGGCAACGGGAGACTTCGCGGGCAGCCTCAGCATCTGGTGAGCGCCTCGGGTCCGGAGTGCTTCAGTACAGAAAGAAGAGAGATGTTGGAGAGGAGGGCCACGAAGATGATCAGGGGACT